CAAAAATAAATAAACATTAAAAATTTTTTTAATTAAAAAAAAAATATATATACCATAATTTTTGTAACCCTATTTTGGAATCTCTTTTCTTAAGATGCTGAGAGCTTCACAAAATAAAAGTGGCCCAGGCTTCTCTGGACCTCAGGGGGACCATGAAGCCAAAGAGGAATAAAAAAGATACTTCTGATTCTAGTCCAAGGAAAGGCATAACATTTGCCTTTAACTTGATCTTTGCTTCATTATTTTTTGCTTGCAAAAGAGAGACCCAATTCACTGTGTGGATGGTTCCCATGCTATTTCATGCTCAGCCTGCTGACCTCCTAGGCTTTTACTCTGCATTTCTCTATAGCAGCCTTTAAAACACCAATGTTCCATCAACTCTGGAAGATGTAGTGGGAGGTGACAGGAGGTGGTGAGTTTTTGGATCCTCCCGTGTTGAGTCCTCACATGGATCTTCCCTCATGTGCAGGCTTGAGGGTTGGAGAAGTAAATCGCCACTGGGTCAAAAACACTTGTGTTAGTCAGGGAAACAGAGAAACAGAACAAATAGGAAAATTATGAAGAGTTCATTATAAGGAATTGGCCCCCATGGTTATGGTAGATGAGGAGTACCCAAGAAAGCAATGGTATAATTCATTCCAAGTTCAAAGGTCTGAGAGCCAGGAATGCAGAGGGCAGGAAAAAATGGATGCCCTAGCTGAAGCCATCAGGCAGCAAGGGGCAAATTCCTCCTTCCTCTGCTGGTCATTGAATTCTACTCAGATCCTCAACAGATTGGGTGAGGCCCACCCACCCAGGGGAGAGCAACTTACCTCACTGAGTCTGCAGATTCAAATGCTAATTTCATCCAGAAACATCCTCACAGACACATCCAGACATAATGCTCCATCTGAACAGCCAGTTAAGTTGACACATAAAATTAACCGTCACAGCACATACTCAAACCTAAAGTCAAGTTTCTGCTGTTTTTGCCCTGCCCACCCGGTGGACCTTCCAACTTTTCAGGGCAATCAGGAGCTGACAGAAGCTGAAGTGTTTTCAGAAAAAGAAGAAGCACTTGGGAAGTGAGAGAGGAAGAGAGATGGTTGTGGGTGGAGAAGTTTCAGGAAACAGTGAGTCCCTGTCAATTTTCTCAATTTGGGTTACAATGGCCACTGGCTGCCTGACAAATCCTCTCATTCTGCTTCCTGGGTCTGAAGATTGTGCCTCTCCCCCTTGCTGTCTCTTGGCCACCCTCTCCCCACCAGAGTTATGATACGAGGGAAAGACGCTTGAGCAGTGGAGCCAGAGGAATATGGGTTTGGATCCTGACATCAACCCTTATAACATGCTTCTGGTCAGTTTATTGATTCTCTGAGCTGTTGGCAAGGTAGCTAGAAGGGGGAGAGATTATGTAAACTCTTTGTTATATGAAGAAAGACCAATAAATGACAACTGCCCCCCCCCCCCCGCAAAAAAAAATCAAGCTAAGTTTCAGAGCTATAATTTCAAGGTTTGGTTTTTTGTGGGGTTTTTTTGTTTTTTTTAATTTTTAATTTTTTTTAAGAGAGAGAGAGCAGAGGAGGGGCAGAGAGAGAGAGGGAGACAGGGAACCCGAAGCAGGCTTTGCACTATCAGCACAAAGCCCAACACAGAGCTCAAACCCATGAACCGTGGGACTATGACCTGAGCCATTCGGATGCTCAACCAACTGAGCCACCCAGGCAGAAGCAATAGTATAGGACTTTCAAGGATCAATCATAAATGTTTTGGGCCTTGCTCCTTCTGGGATCACTCACTGTGGGAGAAGCTAGTTTCCATATCATGAAAACACTCATGCAGTTCTCTTGCACAAGGAGCTGAGGTCTCCTGCCAACAGCTATGTGAGTGCGCCATCTTGGAAGCAGATCCTCTAGGCCAGTCCAGCCTTCAGATGAGTATAGCCTTGGCCAACATCTTGACCACAACTTCATGAAAGAGATGCCCTGAACCCAAACCACCCAGATAAGCCACTCTCCGATTTGCCACTCTGTCAGATTTGTGAAGTGTGAGGTAATAATTGTTTGATATTTTTATCTGCTAAGTTTTGGGGGAATTTATTATGCAGCAATAGATATCTAAGCTAGTTGGACTTGCCTGGGGTCAGTGTCTGCAGCCAATTCAGTTCTCGTTTACTTACTCAATCACTCATTCACTCATATAGCAAATATTTATCATAAGCCGACCATTTGTCACATACTACAGTTGGGCACCGGGTTATTCCGTGGTGAAAACAACAGATCCCAAATGCTGCTATGATATAAGCTATGATATATCCTAGTGGGGTGGGGGAGTGGAAAGAAACCACCAAAATAAAACATAATAACAAGGTTTGGTGAATTATGGAGGAAATAGAGACCAGTGATATAGACAACAGGGTGACCCCTAGGAAGGGTGATCAGGGAAGGCTTTCTGAAGGGGTGACATCCAAGGTGAAATCTAAAGGGTAAGAAGGAACAAGCAATGAGAAGAGGTGGGCAAAGGATCCAAGGAAAGGAACAAGCAAGTGATAAAGCCCTGGGGCAGGACGGGCACTGTGGCTGGAGCACAGGGCACACTGGGGCAAGGGGGCAAGATGGAATTGCAGAACCCAGCAGTGGCTGAGTCCTCTTGGGCTATGTAGACCAACCAAGAAGAGTAGATTTCATCTGAAGGGCATGGGACAAAGAGTGTACTAGCTACTATTGACTTTTGTTGAAGTACTCTCTTGCTGATGAGTGGGAAAGAGGAAGGTCAAGGCACTGGGGGGACAAGGAAGAACAGGGATGTCACCATCGCACTGGGAAGAGAGAGTACAGTTGTAATGTCAGGGGGAAGAGGGGAAATAGGAATATGGAAAGTGCTAGAATAAACATTAAGTGGAGTGACAGAGAAAGGAATCCCTGGTGTCGTGGTCTGGTTGCAATAACACTGGAAATATTGTTGTCTTTGATCAGGATAAGATAGTGTAGGAGAGGACCAGATCTGGGGAGAGAGTGTTTAGGGGGAAGTTGATAGATTTTGTTGTGTAGACCTGGTTGTGCATGACAATGCTGAGAAGCTGGCATAACCCAGGCAAGATGTTGGGCCCTGAACCTTGACCTGCTTCACTACCATTTCCAAGGTAAACTCATCCCAAATCCATCACGTCATGAGAATGAGCCACTCTGAGTTAAGATAGATTTGCCTCCTCACCTCCAGGCAAGGACCTTCCCCCATCCTGCACCTTGAAGAGACCCCCAGTCACCACTGTGAACCCAAAAGAGACAGCAGCAACTTGTGTTTGGCGGACCACCATCTTGTTACACAACCACCCCTCTGTGCCACTGGCTGGAGAGGACAGGCCCAGCCTCAGCTTCACGTGCCCCCATTTTCTCATCAGTACCTCCAATCCCTGCATCCTCTTGTCCATTCTCAGTACTCTCCCCTGCAAGTCACAGCAGAGTGGACTTTCCAAAGAAGAAAGTAAAAAGTGAGGTCCTCATGTTGGTGACAGCTGCTCCATGTCTATGTCTGGAGAACAGAGAAACACAGCCTGAGGGATTTGTACCCTGGTTGGGAACCCAGAGTCAAAACGAGACCTTTTTTTAAAATTTTTATTTATTTTTGAGAGATAGTGTGTGAGCAGAGGAGGAACAGAGAGAGAGGGAGACACAGAATCTGAAGCAGGCTCCAGGCTCTGAGCTGTCAGCACAGAGCCCGAAGCAGGGCTTGAACTCTTGAACCGCAAGATTCAAGATTATGACCTGAGCCAAAGTCAGATGCTCAACCAACTGAGCCACCCAGGCACCCCAAAATGAGACCTTTGAAGGAATGTGAGGTCACAGTGCCAACCTGTGTGGCTAGAGGAGAGCAGGGGTCCCATGGGGGACTGTGGGAGTGCTTGGAGCTGCAGGTTGGGGGGGGTCCTAACACCACTGTGGTCACCACTGATGGGTGCTCTGGCCTTTACCCCAGAGATGGTGCCTCCTGAGCACAAGGAAGTGATGTGTCACAAGGGTGTGGGTGGCCCACTGAGGAGGAAATGCTCTGATGTGTCTCCCTAGTGTGGGGGTGAATGTGGATAGTGAGAGGAGCAGCTGTGGGCTGTGGAGAGGGATGGCAATCCCATGCCAGCCCTGGACTCGGATCGGGACCTGTCCACAGATTGAGAAGCACGCAGGGCACCAGGTCCTGGGCTCTGCACCAGCCCATGCTCTTCTGTCCCCAAGCTTCCTCCACCCTGACCAGTTCAAGTGACCATGGAAGAAGACTGTGGGGACCAAAGACAGACTGAACAAGGAACCAAAGAGGCCTAGGAAAGCAGAAGTGGGACGTGGAGACCAGACCTTCTGTGAGGAGGCTTGAAAGTGTTCCCCCTCAGGAGCCTGACATTGCTGTGGGTGACGTCTGTGCCATAGAAATGACCCTGGGGAATGGGAGGGCATGGCTGCCTACAGCTCTACTGCTTCTACAGGTCCCAGGTGAGTGGGGCTGAGCCTGGGCAGGGAAGTCGGCCCTTGGTGGGAGGGAGGGCAGGGGGAGGTGGGGAGAGAGGGACCCAAGGGGAAGGAAGGAGGATGTGGGAGGGAGGAGGGAGAACAGAGAAAATTCCAGGAGCGGCCAGCTACTGCCTCCACAGTGACCAGGAGGATTCAATGCATGAAGCAGGTGAATCTTGTCCACTGTCCTGGACTGAGCAGCACCGATGAGAGGGAATCTGTGTCCACCATTAACATCATTGTCACAGTCAGAAGTGATGTCTTGGAGCATCATGTGCACATGCGGGCACACACACACACACACACACACACACACAGTGAACAGCCTCTCCTTGTCCACTCTGTGACATCCTCTCCCTTGGGTCTCAGGAAAGGACTGTCTCCTGCCAAGGCCTCCTCCAGATCCTGAGGGCCCTTGAGGGACCCAAGAGGCACCTTGACCCCAAAGCCCACTGACCCAGGCCCATCTGATGAGGGGCCCACACTTGGCTGTGTTTTCCAGGCTGTTCCTCTATAAGTGGCCCCACTTCCGTGACGGGCACTGTGGGGGGATCCCTGAGCGTGCAATGTTCATATGAAGAGCAATTAAGAGAAGGTTCCAAATACTGGTGCAAAAGGCCATGTTTTTGGAAAACTGTGGAGACCAAAGGGTCAAACAGAGAAGTGCGGAATGGCCACGTGTCCATCAGGGACCATCCTGCAAGCCTCACCTTCACAGTGACCTTGGAGAACCTCACAGTGGATGATGCAGGAATATATCGGTGTGGGATCGATACATCATGGTTAGGAGGATACTTGCAAGACCCCGCCGTCCACATTGTGGTGTCTGTGACCCCAGGTGAGCTGTACACACCCCTCCCCCAGCACCAGTACTAGGGCCCCTGAGACTGGGGCCGGTCACCCCGAACCTTCAGGAAAGTGGTAACATGTAGGCTAGAAGAACAGGGAGAGGATGGAGCTGGTGACGCGGGACACCGGGGAGGTGTATGTATGTGCTCTTGTGGGCGTGTCCACATGTGTGTGTCTAGATGTATGTGCATTCATGTGTGCATGTGTTGTGTTGTCTGCACACTCACACAAGCACACCCCTGGCTGTCGTAGGTGCCTCTGTATGCCACACCCTGACACACTGTCAAGCCTAAAGCTCTCCCGGGAAGGGGGATGGGAGAGGTCCCGAGTCTGAGGTCAGCTGCCTTCCTGCCCTGACAAGAGTCCTGTCTACTCTAAAGGGACCCTAGTCTCCTCCTGGAATCTCTCTATCCTCCCAATGGGAGACATGACCCCTCAGATATTGCTTCTTCACCCTTATAGGCTGCCCATGACCCTGGGGCCCTAGAGAACATCACTATGTCATGGATGGTTCCTGGGGCCCCAGCCTTACAGCTGTGATTTTCAAGGTCTGCAGCAACCTCAAGACAGCCCAAGAATGAGCTCCAGACCCTGATCTGGAGCTTCTGTGACCATTTGGGAACCACCCCACCCTCCAACTTGACCCTCCCCCTCTTCTTCTGGCACCTCGTCCCCACACGAGGGAACCCAGAGAAACCCCTGAAATGGCTCCCCTCAGACAAAGGAGAAGGAGGAGAAAATGCGTTCTCAGGTCTTATGGTCCCAAATATACCGAATAAGTCTTCTTTAATAGAACCCTGTTTTTGTTTCCAAAGAACCAAATGAAGGTCATCCCTCCAAGTCTGTGGATTTTTATCTCGTGTTCTTATTCTGCTGTTGTCCCTGGTTCCTCTGTGGGAACTCTGAGGTCATTCTTGTGGGTCTTAGTTTGTCTCTCATACATGAGGCATTTCCCTCCCATGCCCTCTGTTGGTTTCTACTCAACAGTGAGGAGCTGAGTGTCCACAGGCGTCCCTGGGGACCTGAGGGAAAGACCTTCTTCTCATTGGCTTTAAGACAGGCCACTTTCTATGGGGTCCACTGGGTGTGTGTCTGTCTCCCTAGATCGTTCTTTCTGGTCATTCCCTCCCCCAGAGAGGACTGTGCAAGGGCCGCCAAGGTTCGTAGGCCCGGCTGACAGTTCTGGGGGCCGAGTGCACTGAGGGCCAGGGTTTCCGTCACTCATCGCAGACTCTGCTGAATGTGCTCTTTCGTGATCCTCACCCCAGACATCAGCCCTGCCTGAGGATCCTGGCTCCCCCAAGCTCTGGATCAATCTCTACAGAGTAAACCTCACCCCATCCTCTGCCGGGGTGCACATGGTGTGGCTGTGGCTGAGCCTGAAGCCATGTGTTCTGTCCATGCACTGGAATCTCTGAGTGACCAGGACTCTGTGAGTCAGAACCACACAGTTGACTGAGTGGGAGACCCAGGGGGAGGGCGGCAGGCCTGATGTGTTCTTCCCTCTCAGGCTCCACTGAAGCCCCCAGCATCATGAGGTCCACCAGCCCCCCAGGACTTCACAAGACCCTGTCAGCACCCACGGGGAGCACTGCAATCCAACAAGAGACCCCCAGTCCCAGCCGACAACCCCGGGTAAGAGGCTTTCAGGGGGAGACTTATGACACCTGACTGATTTCTAGACCACATGGGGAGCTGAGGAATGAGGGTGCGTCTCTCTCAGCCCAGCACCCTCATTATTTACCAAGTCCACACCTAACTGTGAGGGTCCCACCTAGTGCCAGACACTCTTCTGTGGATACAGCCCTGAGCCACTGAGACACATCCTGCTCTGACAAAAGTGGGGGGTGAGATTCACACAAGGACTAAGTCAACATGCTCATCATGATAAGTGCGTATTCATGATGAGTGCTTGGAAAAAGTCCGTCAGAGGGGTCGGGGAGGGCACATGTGGGAGGGGGACGTGCGCGCTATTTAATACACAACCACCAGGGAGAGGACATTTCACTGGGGACCTGCAGGATTTAGGGAGTCGCCACTCAGGTGTCTGCAGAAATGGGGCTCCAGGGAGAGGTAAGAGCAAGCATCAAGAGTTTTACAAAAGACACCTTCAGGTCTTGGCCCAGGCCAGGTGCTCTGGGGGCCGGTGGCCCTGCCCTGTGCCCCCTCCTTCCCCGCCCCCCAAGCCCTGGCCAGAGTGGCATCCTGTTGAACACCATGCCTCTGAGGGAGGCAAGAGCTGAGCCATGTCATCTGTCCCTTCTATCATCAGCCACTGAACCAGGTGCCACACAGTTGCCAGATGCTCATTGCGAATAAAGCTAACATTTCCGAGCCCTCGTGGGAGATACTGTTTACGGGAGAGCAGACACCAGACAAATAACCCTGATACTGATTTCTAGTCCACAGACAGGGTAACCCCCAATGCAGAAGGTTGAGGTAGAACCCTCTTCCTGGCCCAGGCCCCACGTCACTCCCTGGGGTCTCCCTCACATCACTCCAGGGGCCGGGCCCTTTTTCGTGTCCCCTGTCCTGTCTCAAGGCCACCTGTTAGCCTGAGGGGTACGGGAGCAGTCTCTAGTGTGGGGCCGCCATGCCCATGGACCCGCCTGGGACTCATCTCCGCATGGGTTGTTGGGGCCTCAGGACATGGGCACAGGGACAGAAGGAAAGCAGAGGGTACCAGGGACTCTCCCTGAGGATGTGGCTCACTGTCTGTCACTGTGTCCCCCAGAGGTCCCTGCTCAGCAGCATCTACTTCTTGCTCCTGGTCTTCCTGGAGGTGCCCCTGCTTCTAAGCATGCTCAGTGTGGTCCTCTGGGTGACCAGACCTCAGAGGGGCTCTGGGGGACGGGCAGAGTCAGCCTGATTATGAAGACCAGTAACACCTATTGCCCATTGATGATCTGTCTGGGAACACAGCGCCTCTCATGGATGGGAACGGCCTTCTGACCAATACATCCAACTGTTGTCCACATTTCTATCAGAATACTCTGTATGGGAATGCAAGCTGGTGCAGCCACTCTGGAAAACAGTATGGAGGTTCCTCAAAAAACTAAAAATAGAACTACCCTACGACCCAGCAATTGCACTATTAGGCATTTATCCACGGGATACAAGTGTGCTGTTTCGAAGAGCACATGCACCCCCATGTTTATAGCAGCACTATCAACAATAGCCAAAGTATGGAAAGAGCCCAAATGTCCATCAATGGATGAATGGATAAAGATGTGGTATATATATACAATGGAGTATTACTCGGCAATCAGAAAAAATGAAATCTTGCCTTTGCAACTATGTGGATGGGACTAGAGGGTATTATGCTAAGCAAAATTAGTCAGAGAAAGACAAAAATCATATGACTTCACTCTTATGAAGACTTTAAGAGACAAAACAGATGGACATAAGGGAAGGGAAACAAAAATAATATAAAAACAGGGAGGGGGACAAAACAAAGAGACTCATAAATATGGAGAACAAACTGAAGGTTATGGATTGTGGGGGAGGGGAGGGGCTAAATGGGTAAAGGGCACTAAGGAATCTACTCCTGAAATCATTGTTGCACTATATGCCAACTAATTTGGATGTAAATTTAAAAAATTAAATTAAATTAAACTAAAAAAAAAAGAATACTCTGTAAACTTTTTTTCTTGCAATGTATCATAGACACAAAAGAATGTATCCAATAAGTGCATACTCTTTTTAAAATATTTTTTAATGTTTATTTATTTTTTAGAGAGACAGAATGTGAGGGAGGGAGGGAGGGTCAGAGAGAGAGGGAGACACAGAATCTGAAGGAGGCTCCAGACTTTGAGCTATGAGCACAGAGCCTGATGCAGGCCTTGGACCCACAAACCGTGAGATCATGACATGTGTCGAAACGAGGAGTCAGGCGCTTAACCAACTGAACCACCCAGGTGCCTCTCCAACATATTAACAACAACAACAACAAAAAAGCCAAATCACATTATAGAAGTTGTTATTTTTATTGTTGTTATTGAGTTGCATGAACTCTTTATATATTTGGTATACTAACCCTTTATCTGATATATGACTTGCAAATATTTTCTCCCATTCTTTTGGCTATCTTTTCATTTTATTGATTGTTTCTTTTGCTGTGCACAAGACTCTAATATGAGGGGCGCCTGGGTGGCTCAGTTGGTTAAGCATCTAACTCATCACGAGCATGCACACTTATCTTGATGAGTGTGTTGACCTAGTCCTTATGTGAATCCCCCCACTTTTGTCAGAGCAGGATTGTGTTTCAGTGGCTCAGGGCTGTATCCACAGAAGAGTGCCTGGCACTTGGTGGGACCTTCACAGTTAGGTGTGGACTTGGTAAATAACGAAGGCGCTGGACCGAGAGAGACACACCCCCATTCCTTAGCGCCATCACCCCCCCACCCCCACCCTGGTGGTCTAGAAATCAGCCAGGTGTCATAAGTCTCTTGGTTTCAGCTCAGGTCCTGATCTCACAGTTGAAGAGTTCAAACCCCAAGTCAGGCTCTGTGCTAACAGTGTGGATCTTGCTTGGGATTCTGTTTCTCTCTCTCTCTCTGCTCCTCCCCCACTCACACGTGCTCTCTCTCAAAATAAATAAACAAACATTTAAAAAACAAGCAAGTTTTTAATATGCAGCCCAGTCCTACTTATTATTAATTTTTGCTTTTGTTGCTTGTGTTTTTGGTGTCATTTTGATGTCATTTCCAAAACTCTGTGCCAAGACCAACGTCAAGATGCTTTTTTCCCTGTTTCTGCCTAAGAGTTTTACAGTTTCAGGTGTTACATTTAAGTCTGAATCCATTTGGAGTCAACATTTGTGAGGGGTCCAAGTCCGTTGTTCTGCATGTGGTTCTCCAGTTTTTCCATCACCATTTCTTGAGCAGACTCTTCTTCCCCCCTTGGCCACTCTTGGCTCCCTTGTCAAAGGTTAGTTGACTTTACATGTGGGGAGTTTTGTGGGCTTTCAATTCCGATCTAGAGGTTTTTATGCTGGTACCATACAGTTTTGATTACTGTAGATTGGTAATATGCTGTGTGTCACTACAGGACTGAGCCTTCTTCTTCTCTCAGCCCTTCCGAATGTGCCCCAGACCCCAGGACTTCCA